CGGGCGGCGTCGGGCAGCCTTTCCCCCCTAGCCCGACCTGCGCTGGAGATGCTCTTATAGGTGCCTATAAATAGGCTTGTAGTTGTTCCAATTAAGCGTAGAGTAGCCAAAGAGCTATACATTTCGACCACAAAAGAAAGCCAGAGAGCTACCCAACCCGAGCAAGAAGCTTAAGAGCACTTCCACCAGTTAGCCCCTTGCCATGGCAAGGGGAGCCCTAGGGCAGCTACTATTCATGTGAATAGTGGTTGCCCTAGCTCCCCCCCCCAGCAAAGTGTGTTTCCAGCAGTTAGCCCCTTGCCATGGCAAATGCTATTTATTTTTTTGTTTTTTTCACAACTTTGTTTATTTAAACAATTAATTTGGATAATATTTTCGAATAAGATTTTTGGGTTCCTACGTATGAAAAATCATTTTCTCAAGATTTTTAGCGGAGGTGCAATATTGACTAAGTATGAAAAATGGTTTTTCGAAATAATCATTTTCTCAAGAAAATTTTTTGCGGCTTTTATTCCTTACACATCAAATAAGAAAACTTGATTTTATGGGATTTTAATATGAAGTATATATTGACTTAATGAGCCATCATTTTTAGCCTAAATCGTATTTGCACTAAAACCGATTTTTCATATTTTGATTTGGTGGGAATTTGATTTTCTAGTATTTTTATTTGAATCCAAATAGGGGGTACTTCCTTATTTACATTGTAAACTTAAGTAAATGGAGTAATATAAAAATAAATAAAAGTAAAAGGACAAAGACATTTAAGCAATGCACGCGCCAACGTTAAAAAAAATTAAACTCCAGCGCTGACGTCATCGTGACGTCAGCGCGCTGACCTCAGCCCAAAACGAGTTTTGCTACTCGGGCTGGACCTCCCCAAGGGCTAGCCCAGGCAAATTTTTTTTGCTGGGGCCCACACCTTGCCCTGGCAGATTTGTGTTGCTGGAAACACCATTTTCCCTCAGCCCCCCCCAGCCCTCCCCCAAGACCCCTTGCTGGAAATGCTCTAAAGCCAAGAGATCTCTATAAGGCTATGCCTATTCTTCTCAAATCTAAAAATACTCTGTTTCTATTGTTATCTTATTTTCCTATCCTTCTATACACTTACAACAAACTGTTAAGAGTGTTTGTCCCACGTTGAAAAGTTAAGGAACTTAGCCTGGATTTATAAGGAACTTAACCTATACAATTTTTTTCCTCCCAAAAGCCCGTATGTTCTTCAACTACTATGAAAAAACCCACATTTGAAATATGCTGCCATATAAAATATATGATGAGTGCTAGTATTATAAGTTATTTGGAATCTATTGTCATCCACCTTCATATTTGCTAACACTAACGTGTTTCTGTCATTTCTAATATGGGCACTTGATGATTTCTAGCTTTTATATTTAACTCCTAACATTTGGCACCTTTTTTTTTGTTTTTTATTGACATTTCCTATTAAAAGGGGTGATAATATATTAAACTTACATACACTACACGGATGCTAGGACTCGAACCTAAGACCTATCTTGGGGGGAGCATTTACTCCAAACCACTACATTAATAGGTCCTTTGCTTGGGCACCTATTTAATATGATAAAAGGGTTCGACAAAACAATATATATTAAGAAACACACCAAATATGCATAAATTCTATTTTAATACGGCTAATATACCTGTACAATAAGATGCTATTACAATAATAATAATAATAATAATAATAATAATAATAATGTTACAGCTGAGTACTGATAATATACCTAACATAAAGATTGGCATGCCATAGCCACTACAAAAAAAATTCATAAATATATATACATATATACCTAATACAAATTAGTCTAATAATAACGACTAGGAAATTGTCCATTGGAAATTACGGTGATATGTGCAAAAGACAACTAGGTAATTCATAAGTTTTATTCATTATTAAATATTAGAAAATTAGGTAATTTATGTTTATTCTCTCTAAACAATTTATATGCACTTAACTCAAACAATAAAGTAAGAATAAGAGAGGTAATAAGTTAGAGACAGTGCCGCGGTGATCTTTTGATAGAGAGAATTGATTCTTCAAGTGTTGTAACTTATAAGTCAAATTATAGTTTATAGTCAAGTGTTGTGCTACAATAATTTCACAGAAAAAAAAGTTGGGTAGTTTATAGTCAAATTTTATATGTGAACCCCTAGTTATTTATTTCGTGTATTATTCACGTGCTGATGTATTTTTAAAATTATTTCCGTCTACACTTCTCAAAGATACGGAAAATTATGTGTTTTTTCTTATAATGCAAACCTATTATTCATGTATTATATGTGTACGAACATATTTTTCACCAATAATATAAGGTTTTTAATACTTTGCAATAATACATATATTTTCACGTATTATTAAAAAAGGACTGCAAATAAAAGAAATTAAATTTGTATATAATAGCCGGATTTTTCACTGTATTTTTTAAAGAGCTTTGTCAAACAATACATTTACGTATTTTACACGTACTATATTCGTTCCAGGATGAAAGTTGTATGATACAAGTTTCTTATGCTCCTTGTTCAGAATTGACAATTCTTTGTTGGCTATGATTTTAAATTTCCAGGCTTCCAAATAAGTTGGATTCAGATTTACAAAAAGCTGAGATGCAGAGCCAATTTTCAGGCCTTGAAGATGATGAAAAACAAACATTTCATTGCCCTATACATTTGAGGTAATAAATTGCAATTTGTTTTTGACTGCTTGACTTTTTTTTTTCCCTACTAAACATTCTAGGTTTTTCCCTCCATAAACATATGTTTCTGTGAGAACACTACAACAAACATTTGAGCAAACACTTAAGCAAATATTAAGAGAATATAATTGATGTGTTTATAGTGTAAGAGAGGTAATGAGTTAAAGACAATACCGCTGTGAGTCAGTTGGATTAACTCCAGATCAAGAAAGAAGTTGCAGAGAGATTAAATGGCTGATCTGCAAATATTAAGAGACTTCAAAAGAAGTTGCAGAGGTTATAGTATCATGTTTTAGCAGTTGCTGGTTATATATATGCATAAATAAACGATCCAGGAAAACAACAGGACATTTAAAAAAAAAAAAAACTTCTAAATTTAAAATAAAACAAAAGCATAAGGGAAACTTCCAAGCATTAAGCCACCCAACTCTGACTATCTAACCTTCTGAACAAAAAAATAAACAAATCTCGGATCTAGCAGCTGGCATATTACATCATTTCACTTATTATTATATTTTTGTTGAGAGTTTTACTAGAAAAAACTTCATTTGACTTTGCAAAGATCATAATGGTATTTCACACATTACTCAAATTAAAAAGAAGAACAGCTGTCCCTTTTTAGGGTTTTTTCTTCAATTATATATATATATATATATTGTTGTTTAGAAAAAGAGAGTATTTATTGATGAAACAGAACAAGTACAAACCCACAAAAGTGTCGAAATGGGCACAACATCTCCAGTGACTAAATACAACAACATATTGATTTGATCTAGAGAGAATTACGCATAAACCAAAAAAGTACTCAAACCTCTGATTCAGTAGCTTGAAGCACTTGTACTTAGATTAATAATACAGATCTATCGCACAACAGTAGAAACGGCAGATTCGTATCGCAACCGAAAACTAAAATATAAAACATAGCAAATTCCTAAAGAGTTCCTCATAATTAAAATAAAGACCAAAACAAATAAAGAAACAGGATCACCACTCCACATCATCTCTGACAACCAAAGAGACCCATAACACCATATCGGCTAAATCCTTAGTACCGAACTGGCTAAACCCCAACCCACACAAACTGGCAACTTCCATGATTGTAACTCCAAACTCTAAAATGGAGTCAAAACCCTATGTGTCACATCTCGGGATCGGCTCTGCCATAGCATGATATTGTCTGCTTTGGGACCCCCTGTTTGCCCTCACGATTTTGTTTCTGAGAGCTCACAAGCAACTTCCTAGTGGGTCACCCATCTTGGAATTGTTCTAGCCCCAACTCGCTTAACTTCGGAATTCCCATGACTCCGAAGCCAGTAAACTCCCAAAAGGCCTTGTGCTAGATGAAGGTGG